ACTGCTTTCTCTGCACAAGGAGCGGATATGACACCCATCCCGTCACCTAAGCTCCCACCACTGGAGACACTCCACTGCCTTTTCAGTGAACACCATTTATACATCTGTCTACATCCATGCATATGTATAATTTCATATAAATGAAATATTATGCATGCTGTTTACTCATGGACAGTTTTTAAACACAACCTTTCTAATATCCCTTGCCTCCCCTCTCTCCCCTGAGAACCAGTGTGGACCGGCTGGTGTGTCATCCCCCCCGCTCTCTGGTCACACCTTGATACACTGACTCTCCCATATGCATTATTATTTGCTCGACAGAAATGGGACCTTGCTGTTTACATCTCTATATTTTGCTTTTTTCACGGCCAAAGATTTTTATTAGTTTTGCTAGGTTAGGGATTATTGACCAAGGCGGTTTTGCCCCCCAGGGGACATTAGGCAATGTCTGGAGACATGTTGGGTTGTCACAACCTGGGGGGGGGTGCTATTGGCATCTAGAAGGTGGAGGCCAGGGATGTTGCTCAACACTCCTCAGTGCACAGGACGGCCCTGCCAGAGAATGCCTGGCCCGAAGGTCAGCAGGGCCGAGGCTGAGAAGCTGGCCCAAGCTGAAGAGGACAAGTCATGGAATTAATGAAAGGAAACGAAAATCGAAACGTCCTTTAGAGTGTCCGCTGCTGAACAAGAAGATGCTTATGTTGACTGTGCAGTGAACTGTGGGTCAGTTCATGCCACAGACGGCCCAATCATTCTTGACTCACCTTCCTGTCATCTTCGGGATGTCCCGTGGTAAACAGGGAACGTTGGGGAGAGATGTCTGGGCTGGGTGGCACCACGCACCTACTGGGGCCATGAGTCTGATGTCCAGAGTTGACGGGGAGCCCGTCGTGACCCTGATGCCAGCTGCCCCTTCTTCTCTGAAGGCCACACATCACAAACTGCAGAAACTTGCCGGACTGCCAGGCACACTTCCTGAGTGTGTGGGGCCAATTTTAATGCCCATACACTATAGAGCGTCTGGCTCTCCGGAACCTGCTGGAAGGAGTGTGGGGGCTTCAGCTCCACTCCAGCTGTCTCTAGGGAGAGAATGTTCCAGGCTCAGGAGGAAATGGATCTTCTCCAAACTGGGAGACTGACTCTACAAGAAGAGGCGCTTCCAATGACCGTCCTCGTGCTGGGTGGACAGAGCCTGGTTCAGAGGGCCTCCTGCCTGAGGCCTGTGAGGTCATTCTGACTCTGTTTACCTGAGGGGAGTGGGAGTGAGGAGGCATTGGCACTTCCTCCTGGCCCTGGACAACATTTACTCTGCCAAGCCAAGCCCAGGACATGTTTGCTGGGTGTACTCATGTCACATGCTGGGTTGGGCCGACAGCTCTGCTGGGTCCTGTGATGGGAAAGTCTTTGAGGGGGAGGCAGGGGCAAGGTGAGTGTTCCTGGTGGGAAGTGGTGGCCCAGGGAGTGTGGTCTGAGGGTCCTGGAAGCCCCCTCCCCACTGGCCTGGTAGGTGCTGCCCCCTCCTGTCTATCCTGAGTCCTGCTGGGAGCCACAGATAAAAGCTGAGGTCCAGCAGGCTGTGGTCAGAACGCACACGGGGGCCCGGGCCAGGGTCTCCTACATGGCTCCTCTCTAAGCCCAATATCGAGGCAGAGGAGGCTGGTCAGGAGAGGGGGTGACAGAGGGAGCTACCAGCCCCAGGGGCCTCCTTCCCCATTCCCTCTCCTGCCTGAGTGCAGTGTCCTGACCCTGTCCTCTCTCCCGGGGCAGAGGTCAGACCTGCAGCCGGTCCCCTGCATTCCTCCTGTGCTGTGTTGCCCTCTTGGCGGTGGAGCAGAGAGCGCAGAAAGAGCATCTTGTTGATGCCGGTAGCCAGGTTCTCACCTATTCCCATCTTCAGTAGCTTCTGTATCCGAGGTCTCAGGTCCCTTGGTTTTGACATGGGAAGATTCTAACTGGAAGAGGATGATGGAGAGGAAGGAGAGGTCAGTGGGACTGAGGCTGGGCTCCCGGGAGCCAAGGCCACCGTGGGCACGGGCCGGCAGTAATGGCTGGGGCAGGTCGGGGTGTGGTGGGGGACACTGAGCTGGGAAGACATGGAGGTTTCAGGGACTGCTCTGTCCCTTCACCTGCTCTGCCCTCTGAGAGTCATTTGACACTTGACGCCTCATGCCTCGTGACAACAGCCACCACGTGCACCAGATTTTAGAGCCTTAGGTCAGCCATTCACAGCAATGCACTAGGAAGGGACTTTTTATCACCATTTTGTCGATGTGGAGGCAGGGGCTTGGCGAGGCCATCAAGGCAGTTGGGCTGTGAGTCTCCCAGTCACGCCGGAGCCCTCTGCCCCCATTCCTATCGACCCCACCACAGAGCTGTGTGCTTGCAGAGGGGCCCACTCTGCCCATCTGCTCCAAACCCTCCAAGAGCTCTGACTTCACACTCAGAATAAAATGCTCATCCCCTCCCAGCCCCTCTCCCTGCCTCCTCTTCCCTCACTTTCCTCCTTCACTGGCTCAGGGGGCTTTCCCCTCACTGTCCCCAGGAATTTGGCTGTCCTATGGACTTTTTTTTTTTTTTTTGGTGAGGAAGATCAG